GTAATGGAAGTGGTTTACTAATATAATATTATCATTATCTATTTCTTTTGTCTCGACAATTTTCATTTCACTGTCTACTATAAAACTATGACTTATAGTGAGATAATTATAATTATAATTATGTATAGTTATATATGATTATATATAGTTTTATAGTGAGATAATTACACGATATATATATGTAGTTTTATAAGTATTGAAATATCTGAATATTTCCGTTTCAAAAACAAATTATTCCAAGTTGTATTTTATGTGATTAATTATGCTATAACTTCTATATTTTTTGTTCAATAGATTTCTATATTATTTACGAATCACAATATTATATTGGCTCGGTTACATGTCTGTCATCTCTACTCTACAATGTTAATTCTGTATTTAATATTTTGTAGAAAAATGTGTTGTGTTGCAGTCAGTATAAGTCTAAGATAGGTATGAAGCATATAATATACAAGGTGGGATACAAAAGTCTAGTTACACAGTCGAATGTCTCGTAAACAATACATTTAAGAAAAAAAGTTTCAAAAATTGTAAGGTTGTATTGTAAAAATATCTATTTACAAATCTTATTATTTTGATCTTGGGTGATATCAAGATCAACATAAGATATCTTGAATTTTTTAAATGGAACCATATTTTAAAAAAATATGTTGGGAGTATTTAAAAAATTTTTAATGATTTTGTCCTGATGTTGGCAACTCCACTCAAGGTCAAAATAATAAGATCTGCAAATAGATATTGTTAAACCCTATACAATTTTTATTTGAAATTTTTTCTGATTAAGATCGAAATATTCAAAATTGTATCCAGCCTTTGGGCTTTGTATAAGATTCTGCTTTTAATTATTAATATAATATATTATTATATAATTATATTATTAATATAATAGGTAATTAATAATCTGTTTTTAACATGTTTTTAAATGCTTCTAAGTTTATATAATTTCTGCAATTTTAGGATATTTGTTCGCGTATTGTGTTCCAAATAACTAAACAACTGATTCTATATTAAGTTTAATCCTTCTGTTAACTTTAATTTCTGATTTTTTTGTAGTAATTCTAAATTTTTTGTTTAATTAATTTTTATTTTTTGTATTAATCTTACTTATTAATGAAATAGGAAAGTAAGAATATGTTTTGAAAATATACCATTGAAAGAAATAAAAAATACTGTTTTTTCAAAAGATATTTAAAACTATTTAATTTTAATAAACCTTATTACCAATGTCTATCCTTTTATATATATTATTATTAATATTCAGACAATATTTATATAGATATCTGTATGTATAATATACTGTATGTATAATTGATATTTATTAGATTTTTGCATGGATATTCATACAATTTTATATATATTCCTTAAGGAATGTATATAAAATTGTATGAATATCCATGCAAAAATCTAATAAATATCAATTATACATACAGATATCTATATAAATATTGTCTGAATATTAATGTAAATGTCCAATAGATATTGAGGGACGTATTCTATAAATATTTATAGAATATTGGATGGATATTTACATAAAAATCTAATAAATGTTCAGTATACATGCAATGGATATCTACAGAAATATCCAGCGGATATTATATGAATATCTACTGAATATTTATGTAGATATCTTATAGATATGAGAGCTCTAATAAATATTTAATATACATATAAAAGACATTGATATAGATATATAATGGATATTAATCTACATATTCCATGAATATATATATGGAACATGGAATGAATATCCATGCAAAAATCTAATAAATATCCATCATACATCCAATAAATATCTACAGAAATATTCACTGGATCTTGTATGACTATCTAGTGGATATTTATGTGGATATCCTATGGATATTTATGAGATCTCGAATGGCGGACATTTGGATATTTAAAGTACGTCTAATAGATGTTTTCTATATATTCGTGGATATCCATAATGTCCATTGTGGATATCCATTAGATATATAATAGATATTATTTTCTGTGTGGGTATATATATATATTTTTTTTTTTATTTTTATCTAAAATTTTATAATAAGAAGCTTCACGATATTTTAGTATTTTCTGTGTTGCAAACAAGTATATTTTGTATGTTAAAATATGTTTTAGTTTATAAATAAAATTTGTATAAATTGTTTAGAGTTTTCGAATATATATATATAATATATATATATATATATATATATATATATATATATATATATATATATTTATAGTAGTTAGTGTCAGAGACGATTTATTCATGAGCTAGCTGCTTTTAAAAGTATTTGTTCCAGAAGCGTTCTATTCGTGTGCTGGTTTTTAAAAATATTTTATACACACACACACACACACACACACACACATACACACACACACACACACACACCAGATGCGATTTGCATGAGCACTGTGATAATTAAAAAATATTTATCCCAGAGGCGATCTAAAAAAATCTCAATGTAAAGATTATCTTCATTAATTAAAATTGGAGAAACAAAAAAGGTATATATTGCATCTTATAAAAATTGGCCTACTCTGTATTCAGAAATTAAGAAAATTCAATTTTTTTTAGTAAATTGAAGAAATGAATAAATTTATTCTATTCATATTTGCGATGAAATAAATATATAATGTAATATAAATGTTTGTAAATTTATATTATAATTATATAATTGTTATATCATTTACATATACAACAATTATATATATATAACATATTTACATATACAGGGTGCTAAAAAAGTATCGCATACGCTCAGTGCCATCCGATAGAGAATGAGAATTTAAGAAAAAATGTCTAATACTATTTTTCGATCCCATGAATAATTTCGCCGCATTGATTATTGTAAGTCAGTTAATCAGCACAGAGCTACAAGAGGAAGCCAGGGGCGAAGCGCGCAAAGTCTGCGGCACAACGGCTACCGCGCTAGTCGTCGCGCCGCAAACTTCGCGCGCTTCGCCCCTGGCTTCCTCTTGTAGCTCTGCGCTGATTAATTGATTACAATAATTAATTGCGGCGAAATTATTCATGGGATCGAAAAATACTATTAGATATTTTTTCTTAAATTCTCCTTCTCTATCGGATGGCACTAAGCGTATGCGATACTTTTTTAACACCCTGTATATAATATATAACATATTTAATATATATACAGGGTGTCAATTAAGTCCCGGGACGGCTGAATATTTTCTCATGTAAGGTATTTTTGAAAAAGGTCAAGGTCATTTCTGAAGTAATTTTCAACGAGGAATTCAACGGTGACCTTCAATTTGACCTTGAGCTTGACCTTCAAGGTTATTTGAAGATCAAAGTGTTTTTTTTAAATAGGAACCCCTATTTTTGATTGTATATTCTTATAGCTGACCTCGAGAGCTTTCCAAAACACTATAATAAAATATTTTTCCCTCAAGCATTTATCGAGTTATGATGCTTCAAATCATTTCTTAATTTTACATAAACCGTAAAATATCTTGTAAAATATTCACTTTTCGATTATTTTACCTTAATACTTTTATGTACAAAATAATGAGAGGAATCAATTGGCGTAAAGAAAACATATAGTTGTTTTTAAGAAAAAATATGTAATTTGCAATTAACAATTCCATATTTTTTCTTAAAAACAACTGTATGTTTTCTTTAAACCAATTGATTCCTCTCATTATTTTGTACATAAAAGTATTAAGGTAAAATAATCGAAAAGTGAATATTTTACAAGATATTTTATGGTTTATGTAAAATTAAGAAATGATTTGAAGCATCATAACTCGATAAATGCTTGAGGGAAAAATATTTTATTATAGTGTTTTGGAAAGCTCTCGAGGTCAGCTATAAGAATATACAATCAAAAATAGGGGTTCCTATTTAAAAAAAACACTTTGACCTTCAAATAACCTTGAAGGTCAAGCTCAAGGTCAAATTGAAGGTCACCGTTGAATTCCTCGTTGAAAATTACTTCAGAAATGACCTTGACCTTTTTCAAAAATACCTTACATGAGAAAATATTCAGCCGTCCCGGGACTTAATTGACACCCTGTATATATATATTTTTTTTTTTTTTTAACATGTATGAAATATATTATATATATGCATGTATATGTACATCAATAAAAATATGATATTATTTCATTTCAATATATTTAACGCAATGCAAAAGATTGCATTTTCTATTATATTATGCATGCTTCAAATAATAATGTCGGTAATAGCGTATCTAAAAATGTCGATATTAACGATATTATCGACATTTTTAGTTACATTTAGATGGGGGCGCTAATCCGTCGGAGTTCGTCCGTCGCTTTAGATCCTCTTAAAGGCCAGCGCACATAAAGAACTCTGATTGATTGAATCCTTTATGCCGCATTCATAACGCATAATGCATTATTTTGAATGCATAAATTTATTTAAATGACAAATAAGCAACTTTCCCAAATAAAAGTAACGAAATATATTATCCCCAAATGATTTCTAATCGATTTCGATTATAATATATATTAAACATAATTACGATCTGCTAGCTTAACGTTCGATATATTTTTATTATTAAAAGGAAAATATTATTTCCTATTATTAATGAAAATATTAAAATGATTTTTCTAAATTTCCCCAAACGATTCCCAAATTCTAATAAAGAATTCTAATAAAATCTAATAAAGAATAATTCGAAAATATTCAATTTCTCTGCTAACTCTACGGCGGACCCTCTCAGTTTTCTCTCTGCCTCTACATAGGGCGTGTTCCAAAATTCAATGCCAGCGCTAAAAATCTATAGTTCACGTTACGTATTAAGGTGCAATTTCATTGACGCTAAAAAGTAGCGTCAACAATTGGTTGAACAAAGAAGCAACTACTTACTTCTTTGTTCAACCAATAGTTGACGCTACTTTTTAGCGTCAATGAAATTGCACCTTTATATATTTTCAGTAATGGCAGTGAATTTTGGAACGCAGCCATAATGACCGAGAATTTATTTTTCATATTGGCAATCCTGAAACCGGAGTTTCGCATTGTCACCGCATGAGGTCTCCAACATCAGTTCGGAGTTCGTCCGTCATTTCTGTCGACCCTTAAGAAATGTTATATACGATAGTGGCATATCGCAAGATGAGCCATGAACAAGTTACTTTCTGCATCGATTAAAGATATTAGTCGAAGGATTTTCAACGGCGTGATGCGACCGTCTGAGGTTTGCGGAACTTGCGTCAAATTAACTGCCCATGTTAAGCCTCTAAACGCTTACATTACCGTAACGAATGATATTGCGAGTGAGCAGGCGAATGATGCCGATGCGAGACAACAGCGGAACTCATTACTAGGACCGCTCGACGGCATCCCCATTGCCATCAAAGACAATTATTGTGTCAAGGACATACCTACGACCTGCGCGTCACGGATGTTGACTAATTTTTCTCCCGGTTATAACGCCACAATCTACGAGAGACTCAGGATGCAGGGAACCGTCTTGATCGGCAAGACTAATCTCGACGAGTTTGCCATGGGTTCCGGCACAGTGGATTCCCTTTACGGCCCGACCAAGAATTTATGGGGCTCGGAAGTGCTGTCGCAATTTTACTCATATGAATTGGACAGTTCAGTAATTACTGAGAGGAAGCTATGCGAGAAAGATGCATGGCGTATAGCAGGTCTTTTGTTATAGATTGTTCAATCGTGTTTAACTTTTGTTTAATGTTCTTTTAATAATTTATATTAAGGAATGCATTAACATAATAATTTTTATGAAATACATATTTATTTTAGGTGGCAGTAGCGGAGGTTCTGCAGTTGCGGTAGCTACAGGTACTTGTTATGCAGCCTTGGGTTCTGACACTGGTGGTTCCACTCGCAATCCTGCATCTTACTGTGGTCTAGTTGGTTTGAAACCAACTTATGGTTTGGTTTCTCGTTATGGTCTTATCCCATTGTTAAATTCAATGGATATGCCTGGTATTCTCACAAGAATAGTAGACGACATCGTATTAATTTTGAACGCAATAGCTGGACCTGATTCAGCAGATCCCACAACTGTACAAAAGGAATATGTGCCAATTAACTTACCCAATACAATAGATGTTAGCAATCTCAGAATTGGGATACCAAAGGAGTATGGAGTGCAAGGTATAAGCAAAGAGATGCAGGCTTGTTGGAATGAAGTCTCTCATCATCTAGAAGAAGCAGGAGCCAGTATTGTTCCAGTGTCATTACCTCACACCAACTACTCCATAGTATGTTACTCCGTTTTAAATCGATGTGATGTAGCTAGCAACTTAGCCTGTTATGATGGTATAGAATATGGTCACAGAGCCGACGAATGGAGCTCGGCTTATGAATTGTACAAGAAAACTAGATCAGAAGGCTTTAATGATGTGGTCAAAGGTCGTATATTGGTTGGCAATTATTTTTTATTGGCAGAGAATTACAAGGAATATTATGTCAAGGCGATGAAAATGCGTAGATTAATCACACAAGACTTTGATGTTTTATGGAATAACAACATAGATCTTTTGTTAACTCCGACTACATTAACCGAGGCTCCAAGTTACGATGAATTCATAAAATTGGACAATCAAACGCAATGCTTGATTCAAGATCACTGTACACAACCTGCAAACATGGCTGGTCTGCCCGCAATCAACGTACCGATCAAACTCTCTCGCAGAGGGTTGCCTTTGTCATTGCAATTAATGGCACCACTTTTTCATGAACAGAGATTACTCACTGTGGCAAAATGGATCGAACAAGCAGTGCAATTTCCGAGACTCGAACTGAAGGAGTCATGCTTGCTTAATTAAAGTGAATTTTTACTTTTATATATATATATATATATATATATATATATATATAAAATACATATATATAAATATACATATATATATAATACATATATAAATTTAACATTAATAAAATAAGATATATATATATATATATATATATATATATATATATATCTTATTTTATTAATGTTAAATTTTTTTAA